AACCATCTGAGCCACCCAGGCGCCCAGATCAGGGATTCTTCACAAGGCTAGAGCACAGCTTCTACTATCACCTGGCAGGCAGGGAGGGCTATTACCAAAAACAGATTCAATATATTTTATATAGAGAAAAATGGAAAAACTGACACTTTAAGAAAATACGCTATTAAAATTAAAATTCATATATTTAGCAAATACCTACTGACAGTTACTGTTCTATGATTAGGATAGACTAAATCTCTACTCTCTCTTGAGGTTTATACTCCAGCGGGAGGAGACTGATAATAAATAGGTAACAAATAAGTAGAGAGTGGTAAGTGGTAACCAGAAAATAGTGAGACTTGGGGCATGAGACTGGGTGGTTAGGGAAGACCTTTCCTCTGATAAGGAGGCAGCAAGAAAAGGCAGCAGAGGAAAGGCAAACCCAAGCTCCTGAGGCACAGAGGACAATGACAGGGGGTGGGCAGGCCGGATCACAGAGCTTCACAGGGTCACAGTGAGGAGTTTGGATTTACTAAAAATGCAATAGAAAGCAGTCTACTGCTTAAAATAATGTAATTAGCAATATCTTCATGGCTGGTGGGACATACACTTTACAAGGTGGAGAAACCCTGCAGAAACAGGGTGGAGGGGAAGAAGCAGGGCATAGTCTTGTCACACATGGAATATTAGCATGCATCTGCCATCCAAAGGACATGCACTGCATTCATTCGTTCAGTTATTCATGCAGGAAACATTTAGTAAGGATTCACCATGACCTAGGCACTATAAGAGAAGTTTACACCTGTTTTCTCTCATTAACCCTGTATCAGTACTTAAAGATAGGGAGCATTAGCTTCATTTGGCTGCTAGAGAAAACCAGCTCAGAGAGATGGAAGGAAGTCCTGAGGTTTGGGGTAGTCAGTGACAGTCAGTGGAGTCACACCCAGATTCTCCGACTGTAAATCCAGCTTCCGCTCTTCCTCAGCTGTCCTACTCGTTCCCTTCCCAGCAGTAAGATGAAGGAAATCAGTCTCAAATTGGACTCCATGCACTGCTGCGTTGTTGACGGTCTCCTGAGTTGCCAGATTAGCTTTGATTCGGCGTTAGAAATCCAAAGCCTGGCCACTCCGCTTATCCAGGGTGACCTGATGCTGGAAGCCAATGAGTATTACAGCACTTACTTACCCTCAGCAGCCAGCGAGCACAGCTTATCAGGATGAGCTGCCTGAAAAACAGCAGTAATTGTGAAAGTGTTGCCTGTAGGACACAAAACCTAAATGAGAGCAGTTGATTGGAATCTAGACTATTCTGGAATCTGGTGACCAGTCCCCACTGTGCAGGACAAGCCTTCTTTTTAGTAATTGGACAGTTCTAACAGCCAGATTTCATCGCTGCCTGCCTTAGTTGTGGAGACACACCACACTAAATTCTTTTCTTCTTCTCTCTCTCGCTCTTTTTCTTCTTCTTCCTCCTCCTCTTCCTTCTTCTCATGGTCTGTGATGATGCGCTACTTGTGTTTGTCATGGTCACTTCATAACCATAATGAGGTGATGAAGGCTTTCAGGACGAGAAGGTGGTATGTCTTGGATCTGGTGTCCTCTCCTTTTTCTAGTCATTATTCTTTTTTTTTTTTTTTTAATTTTTTTTTAAAGATTTTATTTATTTATTTGATATAGAATGAGAGAGAGAGAGAGCA